GGCCGCCCCTCAGAGGTCTGCGCGGGCGCCGGCGGCCCGCGGCGCGTACTTGGGCATCAGTTCGTGGATCCTGCGGATGAAGTCGGACTTCTCCGCGCAGCCCTTGCAGGCCTCGCCCCAGTCGTCGAGGATCCGCCGCAGCTCCTTGACGCGCAGCTTGCGCAGGTCGGCGGTGCTCAGGTCGATCTGCTTGTCTGGGGGGGGATGGGGGAGAGCAGAGCCGCGCTCAGCAACACCCCCTCCTGCACACCCCCCCTCACCCCGGCCCGGGGGGGGTGAGGAGAGGAGAGGAGCGGAGCCCCGCGCAGAGGGGTCCGGCCGCCCGCGGAGAGCAGCACGAAGGCAAAATGCAAGAGGGACGAGAGGTGCTGGGCTCCCGCAGGGTGGAGGGAATGTCTGAGTTAGGCTTTTGGCAGCAGATAAGGTTTTTAAACACTAAAAAGTCATTACTAGAAGCCAGGAAGTTTGGTTGCGGCTTAGATGTAGGAGTTCCACAACTGCCCTGAAACCTGCTTTATTATATCAGCAGCAATACTTTAATTCTGTTTTCCACTGGATAAATAAAATGTAGCAGTGATTTCAGAGGAAAGAGAAGCAAGTGACAACAACAGAAAGCTTTTTAGGAAGCAACAGGACATGAGTACGAGCAATGAGAAGTATAAAGACCCACAACCCAAGGGGTGTCTCTGGAGAATGTGAGGGCAGAGGGAGAGAAGCAGTCAGGAGGAGGCATTTCCAAGACTGTTCTTCAGATTAGTCTTTGCAGGAAGAGTAAGCCGTTTAGGAACCCGAGATTTCAAGGAAGGTGGTGAGAAACAGCACTGAATGCTCTGAGCAGACATCAGCCTGCTACTGGCAAACGTAAGAGCAGCTAGGAGTACAGAGCTTAGCTACGGGCTGGAACCCTGCGTACAAGAGACACCATCCCAGGCCATAGGACACACCTGGCTGCTCCCCACAACAAGTTTTACTGCCACTCTCTTCCATGCCTGGGAGTTACTTATTTCAAGGCAGAGCAGTGGCTCTGCAGAAGCTAAAAAGGGTTAGTAGCCAACAATCGTACCTGAGCATCTCCATAAAACTCCTTAGGATGCTCATGAGGAGCAACCCAGGCTGTGCAACCTAATCCGGCTAGCAATCTTGCTGCAGAATTTAGGACTGAGTGGTTTTAGCATGCTGTTTTACCCGAGATGATCCCTACCCTAGAAAAGCATGGCCATTTCCCCTTATGCTGCCAACTCACCGTATTTTAGTTCACAGATCTGACTGTCTTTCTTCTTTAGTTTCTCACAGATCTTTTCCACGGGGATGTGATGACTCATGGGCTTTGATACCTCATTAATGATTTTGGTGGCTGCATCACTTGTGGCCCCAACGTAATAGCACTAGAGGGAAGAAAAGAATGAGGTGGGATGCATGGAAAAATGCTTCTAAAAGGAGAGTTTTTTGTCTGTCTTCTCTCCTCGCTTGATTTTGCAGCTAGATGTTTACTGTTACAGAACCTTTCCAAGTGACCACTCCAGAAGCCTAACTCTGAGCCTAGGGTACTGCGCAGATGTTTCCCATCACACTGCTTTTAAAGCTGTTGAGGCTGGTTGTCTTGTTTCTCAACATAAAAACAAAAAAAAAAAACCAAAAATGGATCAGATTAAGAATAAAGTCTTCTTCATTCAAGGAGAGAGACTTTCTGAGCTATTTTGCCTCTGCATTTCTGACGGTGTCTCTCTGTAGTTCTCTTCTTGGGAGAGTTCAGGGCCTTTTCCTTGGGGGTCTTCATTTGTAGATTGCCTTCTGTTTTTACTACAGGCAATCTGGTTTTCCTTTGTTTAGTTTTCATCTAAACAGCCAAAGAGCATAAATATTTTAACAGCTTATATAGCACCCCAAATATAGTTTATGGGACAAGGAAGTCCTACAGCAAATAAAAGCTTTGTAATCCTCAGCACATCAGTAACAGTGAGAAACAAGGTCAGCCAGCAAGATGTCTGCTGACAGATGGGTTTGGGTTTTGGTTTGTTTTTTTTTTTTTTTTTTTTTTTTTTAAAGGTGAAGAGGTCAAACTCCTCAAGTCTTCTCTTGTAAAAATTACAGAAGCAATTGTAGCCACACAGCTAGGAAGAACACCCCTGGGAAGCCATCACACAAACTCAGAAGCACTAGTTTCCCCTTGTTTGCCAAGCATTCTGCAACTTACTCCCTCAAGAGGCAACTATCATTGACTACTACTCACCAGGCGGTTCTCTTTGCCTTTTGCTTCTTTGCAGGATTTCAAGAGCTCCTTTTCAATACTGGCAGGTGTGAACTCAACGTCGTTGTCCTTTAGACTCTGGTAGAACCTTCCCAGGAACGTGACACACACTGGAAGGGAAGATGGATGGAGTTACCTGCCACTGCGGAAATCTCGTGGCAGCTCCTAAGCAAAACAGAATAAAGGATTTGGAGAACAGAAGTAGAAGCTGCATTAGCAGTCAGTGACTTCACACATATTTCAGTTAAGTCTTTCAGAGCACACGTGAATCAACAAATTCAGAGCACATGTGAATCACCCAGTATTCTGGGTGGGTTTTTGACAATCTGAGAAACCAGATCCGTGGAAGCGTCCAGTGGCTTCTGTGCACTGTCCTGAGCGAGCAGCAGGATTCAGCTGAGGGATACAACCCAAAACAGTGCCTGTGCAAAAATGCAAACTTAGTTTTCTGTCTTATTCTTGCTGCTTTGGGAAGCAATTTGTCAGACCACAGGCTTCGAAACCAGCTGTGATTGAAAACCAACTCTCTCTACATAATCCTGTTAAAGACTCCGCGAGTGCTGTTTTTAGTAAAACGGTATCACTGATTAGCAAGTTGGTTCAGTTCATAGGCAAGGTATTTCCAAGAGAAAAAGAAATTATGTGATCCCACGCTATCTCCACCACCTGGCGTGTTTCTCCTCTCTTCATTCCCCCAAGCTTCTGACTGAAAGAGGGAAGAGTCTTAAAGATAATGAAACTCCCACAAGTGCACCAGCAGTTGAGAGGACAGATCCAAGTTCCCGCCTGTGGGGAGGGCAGGTACAACTTAGTCATTGCACGTTCCCTTCGGCAGCAGTAAATCCGCATACGCTCCGGACTAAGCCCAGCACACCCTCTGGGTCTCGCTGGGGAGGAGGGCAGACGGCTACGGTTACCGCAGCACGCAGGGTCTGTGCCACAGGGCGACTAAGAGACACTGTGAGTGTCCGATTTCCTCATTCTGCCGCTCGCACAACTCGCCTGTGAACATCGGCATCGCCTGGACCAAGAGCTCTGCGGCCCCACCAGTTCCTGCAGCAGGACCTGTGCATTCTCACGACTTCCCGGCTGTGAGACAAGTGCCAGGCACTGGTCTGCCTCGAGAGGAAAGGCACAAATTATGTCTTTTATGTGATTTGTTTACCCCAACAGGAAGGGATCAGCAAATATTATTGTCATTAGCAACTGGTATTCAACTCTGAACAGGAGCCATGGCACAGGAAATGGGCAAATACGGGAGAGCGAGTATGATCACCACAAAGCCAAGTAGAAACTTACTCTCATTATATTAAAACTGTAAGTAATTATCAGGTGGGCCGTTTAGGAAAACATTTTTTTGTATGCATACAATACCATGATTTACCTCACATCAGTCTGTCCCCAGTCACAGACACACACTGATGTCCACTGTGCGCTGTTTGGAAGTGAAAACCTTTGGAAAGAATAAAGATGCTGCAGGCAGTGGCACCGATGGCTACAGTACAGCAGAGACAAGTTTCCAACCTAGTGCTGGGACAGCGGCCGAAAGTTCTGATTTACTACGTTCCCTCCCCCTCCTTCTGTCTTACTGTTTCTCTCCCTACGAAAAGGAGGAAGGGGTGAGCATTAGTACCAAAAAAACTCCCAACAAGTTACTACAGCCCCACCTCAAGTTTTTCCTGCTTCACCCAAGGAATCTGTTCAAGACCAAGA